TGGCTTAGTCCAAGCTCTCCGTTTGAATATTGTTTGTATTTATATCATTGAACCACTTCACAATTCTCCAACCACTTTTTTAGAACTTTATTCGGAACACTAGATACTTTCATGATTAACCACTTACTATTCGCTCCCTTTTGATCCTCCCGGTGTGAGGATATATACCCTCTCACATACACAATCACCACTAAAACCAATTTTCAAATGACAGCATGTTGTGCAATTGAGGCTAGCAAGTAGTAAGTGCTTGATCCTGCCAACTGGTATAAGAGTAGCACGGACTCTAACCCACCATATCACATTTTGCTATGCGTATGTCCAATTGGAATTGCTGATGTCCATTAATACGTAACAACTAATTTCAAAATCTTAGAACTCCATCTACGATTTGCCGATCTCTACTAGTACATAGCATCTAATTTCAAAATCTCTTATCTCTATCAATCTATGATATGCCACCATTGATCTCCATAAGTACATATATAGCAACTAATTTCAAAGTCTGTGATCTTTATCGATCCATGATTTGCCATTGCTTTTTCAAATTAGGGTTGGGATTCGTTGAGCTTATGAATATGTAATTTTTTTTATTAAATACAAATTTATTATCTATTATATATGTAATTTTAATTTGTCAAAGTTAGTTGGGATACTATGCCCACCAATTCTAGAAGAGTGTAAAAGAAATGGCTGGAGTGGGGCGACGGCATGGCCGAAACAAGAGGGAGTTTGACCCAATAAGGGAGGTAGTGGAGGCGTGCAACCTAGTTGGATTTCTTCTATCTTTCGCACGATGCTTACACGCCTCCACTAACTTCTAGAATCGGTGGGTCAGGTGTCCCACTAACTTTGACAAAATTACATATATAGTTGAAAATAAATTTTTAATTAATAAAAATTACATATTCCTAATCTCAACGAATCCCAACTCTAAATCTACTATTGTTTAATTGGTACCGTCGCTCTCCATTAGTACGTAACAAGTATTTTCAAAACCCTATATTCCATCGCTGATCTCCATCGATACATAACATCTCCATCAACCTAGGATTTGCCATCCCAACCCTAAATCTACTGTTGTCCAATTGGTACCGCCGCTCTCCATTAGTATGTAGTAACAACTATTTTCAAAACTCTAGATTCCATCTATGATATGCCACCATCGCTGATTCCCATCGATACATAACATCTCCATCAACGTAGGATTTGCCATCCTTGATCTCCATTAGCACATGGCAACAAAACTCAAAGTCTCTGACCTTCATCGATTCGCTTTCTACCATCGCTGATTTCCATCTATACGTAGCATCTAATTTCAAAATCAACCTCTGATCTCGATTTGCAATTTACCATCGTTAATCACCACAAACTCTCAACACCTATGTTCACCATCATCGTCAATTGGTATGTGATTAATCTAGTTATATATTTAAAGTTATCATTTTTATCCATTATTTTTATTCAATCTTCACCCATGAGTTTTTGCAATTGTGAATGGAGAATTATATTGATTAGAACTTTGAACTAAATATTTTAACTATAGTCCCACCCACTTGTTTAATTAGTTGTAATTCACTCCACTTGCTTGATTCTTCAATTCAATTAATTAATTTAAAGTTGTAAATATTAAACTTCTTGTGTTATATATGTTTGTGTATATACGAATCAGATAGATATATTTTAATTGTTCTTCATTTTTGTGCAGTCAAATTTTCAACTAATCATTATTTTGGAATACGAAATTGCTAAAATACTCTTGAATTGTATAATAAAATACTTGTCACTAAATAGTAATTTTACATTTTTTATGAGATAATACACAAAATAGTTCTTTGATTATGTCATAATAATTCTTAAATTGGTCATCAATTATCAGCTCACTAAAAAGGCTCCATTGATTAAGCAATACTTTGCTCAATTTAGTCTTTGGTGCGAGCAACGTAAGACTAAAATGGGTAAAATTTTGCATAATTGAATAACCATTTTGAGCGAATTGATTGTTAAGGACAGATTTCGAAATTATGAAATAATCGAAACCATTTTGAGTATTAATTTTATATCTCACACACACAATCACTACTAAAATCAATTTTCAAATGACATCATGTTGTGCAATTGACGCTAGCATGTAGTATGCACTTGATCATGACAACTAGTATCGGAGTAGCACTACGGACTCTAATCCACCATTTAAACCTTTTGCTAAGTGTATGTCCAATTGGCATCGTTGATGTCCATTAGCATGTAACAACTAATCTCAAAACCTTTGATCTCCATCTTCGATTCCTAATTGGATTTCTTCTCTCTTTCGCACGATGCTTGCACGCCTCCACTACCTCCCTTATTGTGTCAAATTTCCTCTTGTTTTGGGCAACACCGTCGACCCACTCTAGCCATTTCTTTTACACTCTTTTAGAACCGGTGGGTCAAGTGTCCCCACTAACATTGACAAAATTACATATATAATTGAAAATACATTTTTATTTAATAAAAAATTACATATTCATAATATCAACAATTCCCAACCCTAAATCTACTATTGTCTAATTGGTACCGCCACTCTCCATTAGTCCGTAACAACTAATTCAAAACCCTAGATTCCATCTCTGTTCTGCCATCGCCAATCTCCATCGATACATAACATCTCCATCAACATAGGATTTGCCATCTTTGATCTCTATCAGCACATAGTAACAAAACTCAAGTCTCTAATCTTTATCGATCCGCTTTCCACCATCGTTGATTTCCATCTATATATATATATATATATATATATATATACACACACACACACACACACACACACACACACACACACACACGTAGCATCTACTTTCAAAATCAGCCTATGATCTCGATTTGCGATTCACCATCATCGTTAATCGGTATGTGACTAATCTAGTTATATATTTAAAGTTATCATTTTTATTCATTTTTTTTTCAATCTTCACTCATGAGTTTTTGCAATTGTGAATGGAGAATTATATTCATTTGAACTTTGAACTAAATATTTTGTACTAAAATTTTTGAAAATCTAGTAAATTGATAAATCCTCAGATATAAATATACTTATAAAAACATACATCTTGAACTTAGATTAAAACGAATTATTCTAACTATAGTCCCGCCCACTTGTTTAATTATTTGTTATTCGCTCCACTTGCTTGTGTTATATATGTTTGTGTACGTATATACGGATTGGATTGATATATTAATTGTTCTTCATTTTTGTATAGTGAAATTTTCAATTGATCATCATTTTGGAACAAGAAATTGCTAAAAAAATAATAATAATCTTGAATTGTATAATAAAATGCTTGTCACTAAACAGTAAGTTTACATTTGATTATGTCATAATTCTTAAATTGGTCATCGATTATCAATTCACTCAAAAGGCTCCATTTATTAAGCAAAACTTTGCTTAATTTAGTCTTCAGTATATGTAATGTAGGACTAAAATGGGTAAAATTTTGCATTATTGAATAACCATTTTAGGCGAATTGATTGTTAAGGACATTTTTGGAAATATTTGGAAATTATGGAATAATCAGAATCATTTTGAGTATTAACTCTATATTAATTGTTTTTCATTTTTGTGCAGTGAAATTTTCAACTGATCATTATTTTGGAACAAGAAATTGCTAAAAAAATTCTTGAATTCTATAATAAGATGCTTGTCACTAAACAGTAATTTTACATTTTTATGAGATAATACACAAAATAGTTCTTTGATTATGTCATAATTCTTAATTTGGTCATCGATTATCAATTCACTCAAAATGCTCCATCGATTAAGTAAAACGTTGCTCAATTGTAGTCTTTGATGTAAGCAATGTAGGACTGAAATGGGTAAAATTTTGCATAATTGAATAACCATTTTGGGCGAATTGATCGTTAAGGACATATTTGAAAATTATGGAATAATTGGAACCATTTTTAGTATTAATTGTTTTTCATTTGTGTGCAGTGAAATTTTTAATTGATCATTATTTTGGAACAAGAAATTGCTAAATAATTATTAAATGGAAAATACTATGTAGACATTTGTATTGGGACCACACGGAAAAAAGTAGATTACCAATGTTCGCTACAGCATGTATTAAAATTTAGGAAGTAAGATTTGAAGTCATGTAATAGAACTCTTATTAAATTGTATAAAATTGTATAATAAAATGCTTGTCACTAAACAGTAATTTTACATTTTTACCCTCAAACAGTAATAGAACTCTTATTTTGTCCGTATTAACTAATTACGTGATTTCAAAAATTAGTTTGGCATTTTATGATATAAAAAGTGTGCTGCCAAACAAACAATAATATGCTATTAAATAATGATTCTTCATATGTAAAGACAATATGCTTCTTCTTTCAAATGGTTGAATCCTCAACCAACCTTAAGGGACAGAACCAAATGCCGAGAAGACAATATGTTGTTGACCCGTTTGGAGGATTGGATCTTGGTATGACACACATTTACGAACCATCTAAATTCTTCAAAACATTTCTTATATAATGTAAAGATTAAGACCTAAAATACATGTAATCAAATTGTTAAAACTAAGCTATTTGAGGCAAATTATACCATGTACCAAGATTTACCTTGCATTGTAGACCATGGTCCAAAAATAACTTTAAAATTCTGTATCTATAGTTGACACATTCTATACCTGCAGTTGATAGTTTTTGTAGTACATGTACCTATCATATTATATGTTAGCAAATTATCAAATCAGATTCTGTATCTATAATTGACACATTCTGTACCTGCAGTCGCAATTATCAAGTTATTTGTTTACATATACAGAAACTATTAACCGTAGGTACAAAATATGTTAACTGAAGGTACAAAATTTTTGTATCAGGGTTCACAATGGAATACGAACCCTGATCCATGGCATAACAATTCACTATATGAGAAGGTTGCTAATATGGTTGACATATTAACTAGAATACAACAATAATACTTTTAAGACATGGACAAAAAATTAGAACTACAATGCGCCACACAATCCACAAGTTGCATTATATTCCATAGGAAATAGGGCCATTAAAATGGAAACACCATTGCATTGAAGTCATAAGAAACACTTGGCTAAGCAGTAAGAACTCACATCACATCATCTGAAGTAAAATTTAGAACAATTAACAGAAGCAAAAACTAAAAGAATGATATTCTTAGTCTAATCAACACCTTAGAAAACAAGCTAAGGTACCATCCTCATCTTACAAAACATTATTGCAACTTCCACCACAACCGTTGGTTACATTTCTAAGTTGCATACAAACTGAACCCATGGAGTTTCCCAATACAATAATTTGAGCTTTCGGAGATGCACGAGGAAAGCACAATTCCCTTTGGGATTTTATCACCTTATTGTATTGCCGATGAACAAAATAATATTCCTGAATAACAACACTCTCTAGTTTAGGGGATTTTGAGAGCAGCATTTTCACAAAAAGCATTTCGGTTGTGGATCCACGAAACCGATTAATCTTGATTGTTTTAAGCATTTTTAGATCTTGATTAACAATACAACTGTCTGGATCCTTCAAAAGTCGTAAAATCACTTCTATGTCATCATCTTGAGAACCTATCTACAACTCAACAACAAATAAAAAATAAAAAAACATGAACAACCATGAGGGTGTTAAGAAAACAAAAATCATGATTGCCAAATATATACTGTATATAGGTTTCTGTCTTACAATACTTACTATTTTAATGTCTAGTTCACGTAGGTTTGGAGATATTTGAAGCAACTTCAAAACACCCATGAGCTGTTTTTCATTGGCAAAGTTCATATAATCCAGTTCGATTACTTGCAGATTTATTGCAGTTGGGAAGGATGCTACTTCAACATCTTCCCACTTAAAAAAAAAAAAAAAAAAAAAAAAAAGAATGCTCTGAAAAGAACTCTATAAAACCAGAAGGCAAAGAATATTTAATCTGTCAATACTAGATATGAAGGAAGAGAGATTCTCACCAACATGCAACTATGATCCAAGCAAAGAACCTTAATTGTTTCCAAATGAAGTGAAAGCCATCTGGATTCAGCTGCAGGTATAAAACCAATAATAGACAAGCTTTCAAGTTTTGGAGCTGTGAACTTAAAATTACTGATCCCTTCACAACCAATGAATTCTAGCTTCTCAAGATTAGGAATGCTAGACACAATTCCATTAACATTACGATTAAAAACAACATCCAAGAAAATTAATGAAGTGACACCGCGAAAAATAGAAGGAGCATTTATTGGGCAATCAAAACCCAAACTGTTGAGTCTCAGCTGCTTGATTGTGGGGCACGAGACTATACAAAATGGCAGCTTATATTGAGGGTTCCAAAGGGAGATGTCAAGTTCCTCAATGCCATTTCTTGACAGATAAAGACACCACTGATCCAAATCCGACTGCTTCAGCATAGGATCAATTAAGGCAGCGATGTTTAGGCTAAATTTCTTAACGGGCCAAACACGCTGCAAGAGAACGCAAGTTATTATTTTAGAAGGCACGATACTTTCACCACTGCATTTTTGGATACCCCAGAAGAAGTCATTATCGAAAGCAAGCCGGCCAAGCCGCAACCAAACATGATTCCAGTGTGTTGAGAGCAGAGCAGTTCTGGCGGCGTCTCGGGTGGGCAAACACTCCAAAATTCTCACCTTTAACTCTAACGGCAGCTCACTTATTAAATCTACAGTTGCATGATCCGCTACCAATTCGAGTCGCAGACGTTGAGCCATTAAATTGAAAGAACAATGAAAACCTAAAATTGTTCTTTTCTATTCTTCAACTGCAAGATTTTGTATTTCCTAAATAAAACAACGAAATTAGGAAGAGTTGGGACGAAAACAGAGATTGGAGAAAAAGTGATAGAAAACCTCTGCATCTGCTTCGGATTTTCTTCGACAACAAGTCGCCATTAAACTGGAAACAGAAGTTCAACTCGATTTCCATTCCAATTCAGCCCACGAGGTTTTGGAACAAAAGAAATTTGGAAGAAAAAGAGAGATTAGGGGAAAGTATCAGAAACCCTTGCCTGTATGTCATTAAGAAGGAAACTTCAATTGTTATGTGGAACCGTGCAAGGTGGACATGATTTTATATTCATAATTAATGAATTTTATGTTTATAAATTTTTAATTTCGTATTTACAATTATTGAATTATATATTTACAATTACATAATTCTTTGTTCATAATTACTGAACTCTATGTTCATAATTATAAGACTCCATGTTCATAATTTTTGAACTTCATATTATTAGACTTTATATTCACAATTACAAAATTATATGTTCATAATTATAGAACTCTATGCTCATAATTATAAACCTCTATGTTTATAATTTTTGAACTCTATATTCACAATTATGACAATTTTGGAACCGTGTCCACCTTGCAAGGTGGACACGGTTCCACAACATAAATTGTCGGGAAACTTTGTTTGGGCCTTTGGCAGTAACAGAGGGTTAATATTGTTGTTGGCCCACTAACCGGCCCAATATTATTTATGTCACAAATTATATCATGGACGGCAAATTATATCGTGCACCACGCCGCACGTAGCAATGTGCGCACAGGCACAAAACGCGCGCGTTTTATGCTGACGTCATGCTGATCTCACTCCGTCCATCTGAACAGACCAAACCTCATTATGTGTATTCAGTTAATATTTTATGTGTATTGTGTTATGAGTTTATGTGTATTCAGTTAAGAGTTTATGTGTATTATGTTAACCAACCCCCATTATGTGTATTTAGTTAAAAGTTTATGTGTATTGTGTTATGAATTTTTGTGAATTCAGTTAAGAGTTTATGTGTATTCAGTTAAGAGTTTATGTGTATTATGTTATGAGTTTATGTGTATTATGTTATGAGTTTATGTGTATTATGTTATAGTTTGTGTATTATGTATGTTAAGAGTATATGTGTATTCTGTTATGAGTTTGTGCATTCGAAACAGAGGATTTTTTGTTAACAACTTAACAAAACGACGTCGTTTTGGGAGGCGCGGGCCGCACATTGCAGTGCGCGCCCTGGTGCACGGTATAACGATTGATTTGGACCCTGATCCACATTGTATGGTGAAAATCATTATTCCATGGACCATGATCTACATATTTGTGTGAACCATAAATAAAAAGTATATTTTTAATATACTAAAATTACATTATTTGTATACATAAAGCACATTATTTGAAAGTAAAAGAGTTTCTATATAGTATCAAATAATGTACATTTAGTACACAAATAATGTACTTTTAGTATATTAAAAATGTATATTACATTCATGGTTCATACAATTATGTAGACCATGGTCCACACAATAATTTGTCGAATCCTTATCCAAAATGACATCATTTAATATTAAGTTATTAATGGCATCAACTAGTGTATCATACTACCATGTTTAATATTTGTTCATAACATTTGTTCTAAATGTTCGTAAACTTGAACCTAGTTTACATAAATACTAAATTACATATACATCATATATAAGGAAAATTATGTAAACCCATTTAAGGATTATGTTTTAGTTTTAATTTATTTACTTTTTAATTTGCATATATTAAAGTTATTATCTAGATTATGTCGGAATGATATAGAATCTGTGAACGTACTTCTTGTGGATATAAGGATATTATTGACAATATTTTGGAATTTTTACCAAGAAGTTGCTAGAATTGTTGCATTGTCCACGGATGGAGAGATATTTGGTTTAGCCTTACACGATTCAACATTGATAATTTTTTCTTTAGGAGTACATATAATAGAACTCAACTCATGTTGATTTTGATCTATAAGTGTTGTGGAATTTGTTGTTGATGCCTCTCATTTATATGAAAATGATTTAGTGACTACTAACTAGTAATTGGCCTATTTATGGCGGGAACTTTTATGACTATCAAAGGTCTTAGCATCATTAGATAAACTAATTTACTTAAAAGTAAGAAAAAGGCAGCATAATTAAAGTAATTTATTAACAAACCGGATTAAGCCCCTTCTAAACCAGCTTGTTTTCGAATCTCATACTGCCTTTGTCCCCGGGAGATTGATAACAGATAATGTCATGCTAACTATGAAGTCAATCATTATCTAAATAGGAAACGTCAAGGTAAAATTGGTTATGTGGGGGTCAAACTTGACATGAGAAAGGCATTTGATAGGGTTAGTTGGAAATTTTTTAGAGCTATCCTTTGTAAAATAGGATTTTCTGGTCATGTCATTAACCTTACCTGGGAGCTGGTTTCTACAGTCGATTATAAAATCCTCTTGGAGGGGAGGGAAGTGGGTTCTGTTTGTCAGGGAGACCCTATTTCTCCTTACCTTTTATCTTGGTCTTGGAGGCCTTTCATTCTATGATCCAAAGGAAAATTAATGAGGGGAAGATTCATGGGATCTCTATTGTTTGCGGATGATTGCTACATTTTCTATAGATCAGACCATCCACTTCTGAATGTACTGAAGTTAGGCATGTTATTGACACTTTTGCTTAAGCTTCTGGTCAGACTGTAAACTACTCTCTAGAGCGGGGAGGGAGGTCCTTCTTAAAAATGTTATTCAAGCCATACCCACATTTGCCATGAATGTCTTCTTATTGCCTCTTTTAACAACTTTGTAATAGTGATGATGAGTCTACATATCATTTGTTTGTTAGATGCCCACTGGCTAGAAGCTGTTGATTGGGATATTATAGGGGGTATCTCTTATCAAGGTTATCACTCACTGATGGAATGGTTAGATTTCAATTTCAAAAATCTGTCTGACAGTGAGGCTTGCATCTTAATCTCAGTCTGCTGGAAACTATGGGAGGAAAGGAATGAAAAAATTTGGAATCACATTGTACTCTCTGCGCAGAATATTACTAGTGGAGCACAGCTTTTTGTTCATCAATGGCAACAAGTTAACTGTCTTCGGTCTTCCGTCTAGAGATAACACTAGCTTGGCATGGCTTGTGTAGACCAGATGAAGCTGAATCAATTGGAGTTCGAGAAGCTCTCTGTTAGCGTTTTTAAATGTTCAAAAACCCCATATTATAATTGGCAATATTATTATGGCATACTAAGATAGGTTTAGAGTCTGTCCGTTTAGCTCTACAGATAACTGATCAATCAGAAACAACAACAGAAGGACTGACACTGAAGATCTGATTTAGGAAGCTGATTTCTTAAAAGGCTTACGCGGTATTATCAGACTCATATGGAAAGATGATCAGCGTATTTTTTCAAGAAAGGTATGGACCTAATCTTCTGAGATTACACTCCTCTTTTATAGTCCTACCTTCTACAATCAAAGACATCTATGGAGAGTGGTTATTGAAGGATCTATAAGTACCCTTATTCGAAGAGAATTAGGGTTACGCCGAAAGTAAGAAGAAACACTTCATATCTGCTATATGAGACTAGGTCTTTGATTGTCATGTATCTTCTCAATACAATATGTTCACGGTGATTAAGATGATGAACTTGAGGAGAGTTACTGCTGCTTAAACGAAAGGACACTGTGATCACACTGTTGTAGGAACAACTTTATAGAGCATCATTGAAGTGGACTGCATCAGAGTGGGCTCTCCAAGTGAAGGGATTTCATTGGACTTCTGTATGCATGGCTCTCCATCTTCAACAATCCACTAGACCTGTGTAGACTGGGTTTGAACCTTGTGTGGGGCACTTGGGTAAGATTATTGTATATCTACCTTTGTACATTGGTTTATGATTTAGTGGATTGGACGCCTATGTGATTGTCCCCCAGACGTAGATACACACCGTATCGAACTGGGTAAACATTCTGTGTCTTTGGCTTTTGTGTGGTTATCTTTCTCTTATACTCTCTTCATGATTTATCATTACTGATTGGTCTCTTATCTGAATCAATCAGTAATCTAAATCAGTCATCTAATTCTGTTAATTTACTTAAAATGAGGAATTGCAAAATTACATGTGGTATCAGAGCTTTTAAGTCTACATAGTGACTTGATCCGAATGGCTGTTTTAGTATTGCATTCTCTCTGTTTTTGTGCAAGTCTCTCTGTGTGTTCGTTGGCTGGTTGTTGTATTCAGGATGGACGCAAGTATGAAACCGCCAGAACTAGATGGTCACAACTACTCTTACTGGAAGGCTCGAATGGAGATATGTAACACCCCGTGTTACGACCTCCAATCCCGGATTAATTATTTAATTAATCCCGTTAATAATAATTAAATATGATTTAATTCGGTTAGGTTTCCCTTTAATTAATTAATAAGGTCCACCATGAACCGTGGACCCCTGCCTAAAATAGAGTCCTAAGCCTATTAGGAATAAAGGAAGTAGGTCTTTTACTATTCAGATTATGATTAGGATTCTCTTTAATTAATTAATATGGTCCACCATGGACCATGGACCCTTATCCCTAAAACAAGTCCTTAGTCCTATAAGGAATGGAATTAGCAAGCCCATAGTATTTAGACCCCAATTATGACTCTTAGGAATATAGATATATATATATATATATATATATATGATCATAGGAGGCACCTAAATCTTACACCACAATAATCTCTCACCACACAAGAAGTACCAAGAATCCCCTTAGGAGAAATCAAGAAAGAAGAAAGCTTAAAGAAAGACCCTTCATAGCCAAGAAATTAATTAAGGCTAAGAGGTAACCCATGTCTCAACAAAACCTATTTTCATAGCTATGATTCCCCTCTTAGGATTTCCCCATATTATTGTGTATTGATGATTTGTGATATTATTATTGATGATTGGTGAGATGATTCCATGGGTGATCTTGATGATGAGAGGTTCTTGGTAATTATGGTGTTCTTGATAATTATATGACGTTCTTGATAATTATATGACGTTCTTGATGATTATATGATGTTCTTTATAATTGTAAGATGTTCTTGATGTTTATGTAATATTCTTACCGAATCTTGATATTAGAAGATGAATTGTGTCCTTGTTGATTTAAAAGTAATTAGAACCCTAGGTTGTATCGTATGATATCATTCTTGGTATATGGGGTGGGAATTCGCATGATTGGGTGTTGAT